TATATATATATATATATATATATATATATATATATATATATATATATATATATATATATATATATATATATATATATATATATATATATATATATATATATATATATATATATATATATATATATATATATATATATATATATATATATATATATATATATATATATATATATATATATATATATATATATATATATATATATATATATATATATATATATATATATATATATATATATATATATATATATATATATATATATATATATATATATATATATATATATATATATATATATATATATATATATATATATATATATATATATATATATATATATATATATATATATATATATATATGTATATATATATATATATATATATATATATAAATGAAAAGTATATAACTTCAGCATGACGTAACTGACATCAAAACTATTCGCATTTTTGACATTTTTTTCCCGATTTTTTTTTCATTAAGGTTCCCACCAGGTTATCTACATGAAAATTTTTATCTATGTAGGAAATATGCAACCAATCCTGAACGTAGACAATATTTGTATTGGAAGCTCTGCAATGTCACCTGTCAGCAGTTTTGAAATGATTCCGTCTGATATTTATGCATGATTTATCACAAATCGAAACAGAGATTTTATCTCTTTGTCATAAACGGAGCCGCCAAATCAGATATGAACCAAGACGTGTTCATAAATCTCTTTCATTTTCAACACATTTCAAAAACAATTCTGCATATTTTACTCTATGCTACCTGGACGTGTGTATATATGTACAGTATGAGAGGTGTACAATTATGAATTATGCAAATATGTTGCATAAGAAGCCTCAAGAGGGAGTGTGATGTTCTAGTCAGCTGTATATCTTCATGTTCATCAATAGTGCATATAGAGCAGCACAAAACCATATGTTGACACAGATTTAACCCCTACAAACACACTTAAGCACACAAATATACTCGTATATATGGTTTACAAGGACTCTCCATAAGCACAATGTATTTAATACTGAACAAACCAGTTTATTATAAGGTCCTACCTCACCCCTATCACTAACCCTAACTCTCACTGGAAACCTGTGGTAAATTCTGAATGTCAAAAGTATGATTTAAGCATGTTGAATTATGAGGACACAAGGCATGTTCTTGCTAACTAGGTTAATAGAACACAACTAGCTCATACCAATGTCAATGTGCAATTTTGTGTCCTCCTAAACCACAAAAACAAGTAACACACACACAAACACAGGCTTGTACAGCTATCTTTACTGGAGCACTCAGAGGAAACAATCTGAATATTTACATCTTCAAAACCTTTTATCATGTGTGGTTTATGAGACCAAAAATGTCCCCGCAAGGTCAAAATTATAGTATTTTGATTATTTGATTTGATTATTATTATTACAGAATTATACTAGTTTTGCTGTAGCTGTGGGGACACTTACGATGTCGGATCTCCTAGTCTACATTTTGAATCAGTGACCGAGAAATAGAGAGAGATTGAGTTGCTTATGCACACGGGCATATCTAATAGCTCATGGTAACATGTGCTTTTCGTAATTACTGTGACAATATTTGCGCGTTGGGTTAATCTCATGAAGCACGAACTGAAAAAATACTCTTGCAATTGTCACTGAGTTAATTAACTGGTTTTGCTATACTTGTGGGGACATTTGGTCCCCGTTATTTAGAGAAACACAATGCACATATATGCATATGCATATTACTACAATTCATCTCCTTTTACAGTGTGTGTCATAAAAATATTCAGAAATATGTCATGTTATTGAAGACAATGTAACCAGGCATGCTCCTTCGCATCTCTAACACTTTCTAAAATGCCCTTTTTTAGTAACCGTTTTTGACAGTCGAGCAATCTTTTATCTGGCAAAACCGTTCAAGCTCCATCAGGGAGCATGAATAATCTACGTTTGTAGCTTTAAGCCGCTACAGTGGTCCTTTTTTTGGGTGTGTAATTCTCCCATGGGCAGATGAAGTGAACTCCGTGTCCTCCTGCATACATTCAGCAGGTCTTCGCCTCGGGAGATTCCCCGTACTTAGCACTATTCACGTTTTCTATCCTGGAGTTTTCCAAGAGGAAGATCCCTAAAGCGTGAAGCTGTCATCACCCTCCTTCACTCCAGCACAACGTTTTCTCTCAGTTTGATGTGCTACTGTTGAAATACGCCAAAGCGAGACCCGAAAGCACTTCAACAAATATGCTCTTATCTAATCTTCTCTATGGCTGAGGCTGCTGCGAGCCTTTGGGCGATGTTGAGCACCAGCACCAGATGTTTAGATGCCAAAACCATCGTTTACATCTTTATTTTTGCCCCGAAGCCTTGCTTTTATTTGGGTCAAAGAACATATGGCGTCCGCCGTGAACAATGGTCTCACAAATGGATTTGAATTAAGCAATTATGTGACTTGGAGAAGACTGAATAACCCGAGTGTGTTAACGGTAAAGTGGTGAATTACTGTTTGCTTGCTTTTTTTAGTCTCTAACCATCGTAATCACTCACTAAACGTGCTTGGAAATTTCCAACGCAGACTGTCCAAGCATACACTCAAAGGCTCCTTGTTTCCCGAAAGTCAGGTCAACAAATAAACGTCATGTCTGAGGCACACACTGACTATTAACGAGAAACTCTTCTGACTTCTCATATACAGTTGACGTCAGAATTATTCACCCCCCTTTGATTTTAGTTTTCTTCTTTAAATATTTCCCAAATGATGTTTATCAGATTCAGGAAATGTTCACAGTGTGTCTGATAATATTTTTTCTTCTGGAGAAAGTCTTATTTGTTTTATTTCGGCTAGAATAAAAGCAGTTTTTAATTTTTTAAAAACCATTTTAAGGTCAATATTATTAGCCTCTTTAAGTTAACGAACCAGAACAAACCATCGTTATAACTTGTATATACATATATATAATATCATACATATATATATATATATATATATATATATATATATATATATATATATATATATATATATATATATATATATATATAT